AATGCTGAAAAGACAGACGCCCTTGAATGGCTGTCTCCAATAAGCGTTTGTTAAAGTTTGTTGTTAAGGATTCTATCTCATTTTCATTTTTCCAAAATCACACTATCAAAAAAGGTGCTTCTTCCTCTCTCGTGTGACACTGTTCTCGTTCTAGTTTTCTCCCTTTTCAGGACTTTTAAGGGAATTAAAGATAATGAGTAAGATACACCAGTGGCAGACGATCATACAATCTTTTTTTTACAAGTTCATACATTGACATAATTTTTCTTACTAATTCCCTTTCTCTTTATTTGCCATCTCTGCGTTTCTCATGAGGTCAGAATTTCCTCCTTAAAGACATTTAAAGTGAGAAATGGTTAATATGGTTGAGTTAGAAGTGTATTGAAGACAATCTGTTTACTTTGTTGAAAACCTTCAGTATTGTTGTTATTTCCACAGAAGTCCTTGGACAAAGTCTTTTATTATTTTGTGTATTCTTTCATATTATTACAAGAATAAGCTCGTCTTGTCCTGGAATTACAGTGCCTTTTATGGTGTGTCTGGGATTGAAAAATAAATGGTGTTGAAGAGATAGCTAAGAATTGCATACATTATTTCCTCATTTGTTCCTCACTTTCTTCTCTGTCAATTTGCAACATTCTCATCACCATCAGAATTTAAGTAAGAAAATTCAATAAAACCAGTTCTTAATTTCAAAGAAGAAAATAGACAGAAACTTGTATTAAGTACAACAGCGCAGCATAATGATATTCTTTATGTATTCACTTTTACCAATTCACTAATTGAACTATCTTTCGATCTGTTTCATTCTTCGCAAATAGTAGTTTACATTTTCTTCACAAATTGATACTGTGAAGTAGGTTTTTCTTGACAAAAGTACTTCATATTAATCACAATAAGAGTAAAGTTTTAACTCTTTTTATCTTTAATTAATCTTTGTTACAGAAATTATTGGTCTTATTGTTTACTTTTTATTTTTAGTTGCAATTTATTTTGTTTTCATTTTGTTTTTACTAGTAGGAGTTATGTTATTCATAATATAAATACTATTATTTGTTTTATTATCTGTATTATGATTATTGATATGATTAATATTACTAATATGATACTGATCACAAAGACGGGTTTAATTATTATCATCACAGCTTCAATCCCTACTGTAAAAGTTCATTGTCTCACAGCTGAATATGCTAAATATACTGAAAGAATTTGTAAATTACCTCTGTGGGATAAAGGAACTGACGTGACATTAATTCCAAATCACATACCCTCCATTATACTATGAAATTGGCTCAACTTTGGGACAAATGACAGAAAAATAAGGACTCATCGAGTATGAACCCTTCCAAATCGTGCACAGCCTTTGCATAGTAACTGCGGTGATTATATAAATTTTTTGTTCTGATATTCGTACTTTTTTCTTCTTTCTTTGGAATAGGTATTATTGGATGAGAATTCATCCTGTTAGGGGGAATGGATAAGCCACTTTACTTAATAGGATTTGAGGTAACGCAAATGTCCGTTTCTCGTGTTTTATTGGTGCAATTAACAAAAGAAAATGAATTATTGTTTTCTTGTGCTTGATAGCACAATCAAGTACGTTGTCAAACTAAAGTGAAAATGACCTTTTATAATTGATTTTAGAAATTACTAAAATGATCATTAAAAAAGAAACTATCATTGAGGTCATATAATTGTTTATATGTTAGCATATTATATGATGGTAACCTCTTTGTACTTTATAATTTGAACACACTTCTGCACTGTTAAAGTAATATCTAACAGTAATTAAATAGCATTGAGTAAGCTACCGAGTTCAAGTGCTGAGATCGAGTAATGTTAGTTACTAGGTGCAATAAGGACCCAGTTACATGTAGCATAAGGGAGAACTTGTAAGGCTTCGATAAGTTATATCATGATTCTTTTGTTTCTTTGTTTTCTCTTATGTTTATATATTAAAGGCTTGAGCATCTCTGATTTTAGATTGAATCAATTTAATGTTATGCTGTCAAAGGGAACATGACAACACAATCAGGTTTAAAAAGAAGAAATAAAAGATCTGTGCCAAGGAACCCACATTACATTGATATTCTTAGATCTTATAAAAAAGCGATGCTACTTCTTAGTCAGGTAATGGGCAACAAATTACTTTGTAGATTCTGCTAAATACAGCTTGAAATCTTCCTTGATAGTGTATTATCAAATTTGCAACCATTCCGAGCTTTATTATGTCAAAATGTATGTAGTGAAGGTTTGTTGCCTGTTGCTAGACCACTGGCACATCAGTAGGGGATCATCTGATGCTGTCTGATTATTGGTAATTACTGATGGTGAAGTGTTAGCATAAGTTGATATAAGCAGTGGAAGTAATTTTGAAAGAAGAGAGAATTAGAAATCAGATTGATTTGTGTAAAATTCAGTTTTATGATGGGCTTTAGTGATTACCATAGATAGACTGTCACATCCTATAGGAGGAGATGTCTATACAAAAACGTCACAC